ATAGAAGCATTGATAGGTTTGAAAATGGCTCCAAGTGGTGGTGAGCTAGAGCCATTTTCATTACGATTTAGTTTAATCTCATGACGATCGTTAAATCACATCATCATTTTTGCATAAAAAATTCCCCCTGTAGTAGCAGTATAGGTATATAAATCTGGCTCCAGTTGAAGTGGTCCAGATCCCCCATTACCTATACTACTAGGACCAAGGGCAGGTCACTCAAAACAATTTAAAAAATTACAATTTCAAAGGCAAATATCACCGAAAGTAAAGCTCCAATGACTTCCAAATTTCTTCTTAAGGTGTGGAATCAGATGCCCAACAATTTCGCTTGGGCGTCCAAAGTCGCTAAATGGCTTCGTTTGGCTGCTATATTGGATTAAATGTTTTGGCTCTGTTTTTTACCATTTTTCTCAGTACTTGTCTCTCAAAATCTGCTCAGCTCAAAAGCTTCCAAACTTTCCATACTTTGTGTCCAAGTACCATACTACCAAGTTCGGAGAAAAAATGCTGAGATATGTCTTCCATGGCCGCCATATTGACTCTTACTTCTGGCCCAAACTTATCTTCAAATGTCAAATGCCCATGTCCTGACAAATCCAGAACACTAAACCGATTGACTGTATCTCAATGGACAACGAAACTACAGCCTGTTAAAGAGGGAACTCCTGTCATAAACTTGCCACAGAGCAGAACTCTAAACACCTGTAACTCCAAACTACTTGTCCAATTTTGGCCAAATTTCGTGTGTATGTGTAGAGTGGGATTGTCAGTTACCATGTCTAATTGTAGTCACTTAAAGGGGCACTGATCTAATGCGATTCCCCGGACTGGTGGTTGCCTTTGTTATTGTGTTTTTCCCCGTGAGTACCCGGATGATACGCAATGCAACTGAGCGTGACCAGAGACTGGGCTACCGTCTGCAAGGACAGCTAAATAAACTTGGAGGCTGGAGGCAATATTTGTTTTACGCATTTTTGCATAAACACTGATTGGTTATCTGTGATCTATAAAGATTTCGACAAAGGGCGCATGTTAATTAATTTCTTCAGCCTAAACAAACAGACGAAAAGAACGACGGAGCTCATCGGATGTCGTCATTTGGAAATACCCCAGATGGTTATAGTTTAATAATAAAAAAAGTATCCATGCAGTGAAAGCATTTTCGGATTTCCGATTGCGTCGATAATACGATTACTACTCCCTTGTTGTCATCCACGTTTTCTCGTATAACCATACACTTGTGTATTTGTCGTCATTCACTTGATGCTCAGTTAATGAATTTATTACAGGTACAATTAGTGGTAGCACCACTTAGATTACCTGACAAAGGTTCCCATTTGGCATTTATTGTGTCTGGGGTAATTATTCAATCTAAATCCAGGTTTGAAGTGAGGTGAAATGTGTGTTATGTAATATGCACATGGCAGCCCAGCAAGAGATAAATGATCAGTTCATTTACTTTTTTTGTAAATCAACGGATCGTTCCTAGTCATCAAAGGATTAACAGAAAATACGTTGATTGATTAATCACTGTTATCTTGCACAGTGGATATGTCAAAAGGGAGTGTTTACATGTCTAGGTTTACTAAAACAAAGGGAATACACTCATATCATGGCGTGAAGTGCCGATGTAAAAACAACATACTTTGTTCAAAGGGTTAACTGATAATACGTTGATTGATTGATCATTGTTGTCAATCACTCAATGGAATTCTTAGGAACCGTGGACGTTATGAAAATAGTTGTCACGTGGGCTTTCTCAGCCGACCTTTGAGACTTGACACCTATGTGAAACACCTGAAACAATCCAAGTGATCAGTTGAGATACGAACACGGGTTATAATATCCCGAAACGATATATATCTTTTAAAATATTTGATTGTTACAGAGACACGTGACATCGAATAAGTTTCTTTGTACAGCTGCAGACGAGTGGGATATTGTTCCTTTGTGTGGATATTCACGGATACATTCCTCGAACAAGGAAGCTGCTTAAAATTTATACACATAAATTTGGTAGGTTGTAATTATGGTATTTGCATTTTGTTTTTCTTCATTTGAACCGATTCGTTGTTGTTTCTCTACGTCTTGGTTGGGAAATTCTTCAATGCGCGATAGACGTTGTTTTCACAGGTTTTTTCCTTTGTAAGCATGTATATATATATATTACCGTCAATTTGTAAAATGTGATTCTCTCAGGCAATTTATAAAATGTGTAAATATATCAGTCATTTTGACTAAAATATCTGTCCAGATTGATTAAGACGATCAAAAGGGCCTACAAACATTACAGATTATTATGTATGATTAGAAGCCAAACAACATAGAAATGTACTTTTCAACGTAACATTTTCAGTCTCTTGGTGATGACATTAAACATCAAAATGTTTGGAATTCGTTATCATAATAATACAGATGGAAATGTTTTTCAGTCACTTTGTAAAATAACTGAATATTTAGATGTTTAATAAATTTGTTACACATTTTGACAGTAAAAAAATATATACACTATAAAAAAAGCAATGCTCAGGTGAAATATTTACTTTGTGTTGCAAGTCGAAATAGTGTAAACAAAAATCGCAAAATTACCAAGCAAGTGACTTATCAAAACTTCGTCACCATTACTGATGCTACCCACAAAGATACCTACATTTCCTTATTTTCTCAAAAACTGTATTTCATTTTGTTGATCAATGTGACCATACGCCCTTATTACTACCCATAAAAGTGACTAATGCGCTTACGAATGGCGCAGCAGAGGTCGCGAACTAGTCTAGATTTCTGCTATACATCCGGGTACTCACTGGGAAAAAACAATAACAAAGGCAACAACCAGTCCCGGGGAATTGCGTTAGATCAGTGCCCCTTTAAGACGACGGAGAGAGAAATCATACATAATTCATGTATAACAACATCTTTTAACCTGTTGCTCCGAAATAGATCATTCATAACTGTCAGACTAGGCACCCTATAGTATTTACATGTAATTCAATATTGAAATGCATTCCCATATCACAAATCCTACAGATACAAACTGTTATCTGACATGTTTTGAAACTTCTTGTTTCAATGGTAGCGATTTCTATAGTCTGTTTCTGTATGGATTTTCTTCACGCTCTATATAGTACCCTCCCCCAGCAGAAAACATGCAGTTTTGCGCTCTTGCACGTATGGAGGGTACATCCAGTTGTGTGTAAAACGCAAAACAGAACCAGGGCCTAGATTTTCGAAACGATCTTAGCTCAGATAAATCTTAACTACGTACGTTCAAAGATAAGATAGATTTTCGAAACAATCGTAAACCTGTCGCAGATCGCTCAGAGCTACGATACCTATCATAACTCTGACAGAGAACTCATTTGTGTTAGAGAATGAAAAAGCGAGATGTTTCCCAATGACGTCACGAATTACCAGCTGCTGACAATAACAACAACAAAGATAAGTGACACGGAATTCATGATCACATTGTCAGGTCATATTGTTTAACACGCAACTATCTGAGTGGCAATCTACATACGTTCTACATGTATACGTTTTGTTTTTATGATAAAAGATGACTACCCCAACACAAATATCATTCGTGTGTCATGCAAAGGCATTTTGCAAACCCAATAAGTGTTATAATCAATAAGTGTAGTGTTACCACACTATAGTAATTAGAATTGAACAAATGTGCAAAAAGATACTTCATTGTTTTCCCTTCAAATGGTCCCCTCCCGAGCGCGCAGAACTTTATGTTAACACATCGCGTACAAAGTTAAGGACAAAAGTAAGGGACATTATTCTAAATTTCAATGCCGAGACCTTTGGTCGAACAGTAGGCATTAAACATTTAAGTTGCGTGTCCAAGTCTGATGGTACGTGATGTGTGCTGGGTCAGTTTCACAATACTGCTTGTTTTTCCGTTTATGTCAAAAGTCAAGTTAGGGAAAACACCAACATTATACCTGGAAACACTCAAAACAAAAGTTGTTCATGAAGCAGCGCATCACGAGCGAGTTATAATGACAACGTATGCTTAAATTAAATTTGTTTGTTTTATATATATCCAATATATTTCACAAATAAACAAAGGACTCAAATACAATATCAAACTATTTGTATTTAGATGATGTTATTATTTTTTTATCTATCTAGATCCATAATCCTTTTCAAAATTTGAAAGTGACACTAATTTTCGTTCACAAAGGGAGATGATTTAGGAATTGTCAAGTTATGTTGTCTAATGGAACACTCCATAAGTTAACGTGAACATACATATGATGTAGTCCTTTTCCATCTTTTCAAAATAAGTAGAGCTAATAAACAGATTTTCTTATTTGATTTAAATCTGGCTGATGAGCGAAATGTCTACATTGTAATTGTGTGAAATCTATTCCCAAACATAGTTCGATTACATTTGGCAGCATTGCTGAGGGTCTTTAAATAGTATTTGTCCTTAACAGTTATTTTATTGTCTGAATGGTTTTAAGTATTTATATTTTTTTAATAAAAAACAGGTAAATGTACACTTAAATTTTAAAAAGAAAACATTAATTATTATTATAAAATCGGTCCATTGAATGCAAAATTCAAAGATTATTGTGATTGAAATGTCTATCAGTAAATTTCATTCAATAAACATTTGCTACGAAAATATATTGGAAACTGAATTTTGGACAGTGTTCAAAAGATGTTACTTTTTGACGACATTTTAAACTCAAACGAGCAAGGGAACCAATTTTTACTTGATTTTTAAAATCGCCAATCTCAAAAATATGATCAAAAATATTACTTTTGCTGTCAAAATATCAACAAATTGCTTTATTTAATGGAATACATCTATGCTGTTAATCACCTGTTTTTAAAGAATGCAATTATTCAACAGACAATATTTAATCACTTGTAATCAAATATTTGTCTTTCAATAATATAGATAACCTACAATTACTTAAGCTAGAAATAGATTAAATATACTCTTTACACAAATATACTATACACATATTTGATCACATGTATTTTCTTGTTAAATCAATAAATACTACACTGTATAGTTACATTCAATTATTAAAACCGCTCGTCCCACACCATTTTAGATGTAAAACCTGATGTGAAATGCTTATGTTTTTTTTTGCACTTCATCACACATGTAGACTGATACAATTTTATAAAATGCAAAAATAAAGACTAAAGCATTGTCACAAATGCGATCCAGAAAATATAACAGCGAAACTCTGCGCTTTATGAACACTGTAACATTGAGCAAGTCCTCCCCGGGCGAATACAAAGGGAAACCACTCTCAGTTAGAGTATGAACTAAGATTAGCTGCCCCTGAGTTATCAAGAAGGTCACGATCATTACTGTATCCTGCCGACACCTTCCATTTTTATCCTTCCCAAATTATCAAAAAGGTATGTCGTTTCACACTTCTTCAGCATGGACTCAGATAGAAATATATTGTAAGCTATCGACTCCACAGTTATGTGGATCGCTGTCGCGATTAAGAACATTTTTTACGTGAAATCTTTGATGCGTTCTTCGTGTTTTCGAAGTGTCAATTTGAATCACACAGTTTAACAAAATTAAATGTCAACGTTTGAACGTAAAGCAGACACATTGTTTGGCAAAATATCTACGGAAAAGGATGCCGCCATCTTGGATGAAGATAAAATAAACTTATGACAGGTATGGGTCTATCTTAGATTTACGACAATCTTAAGATATCTTAGGGCTACGATAGTTTCGAAAATAGGCTACGATAGCCTACGATTTCCTTACGATAACTTTACGATAATTTTAGGGATACAATCGTTTCGAAAATCTAGGCCCAGACACTTTGTACGACATAATGTATGTTTTGGTTTTACAAGTAGCGGACATAATAAGGTGAAGATAGTAATAGCTGTATTTTCAAAACAGTGTGGACCTTGAGTTTAACGAGAAGACAAAGTCATTGATAGCCCTGACATATTAATCTATGCATAAAATCACAACAAAGTATAGATCTATATATATGTATAGTATGATGTAGAGTTTATTGAAACATTCCCCATGATCTCGGCATAGAAGCTACTGAATACTGGATAAATAAACGTTTAAACTCCATCATCCAATCCTTGGTTGATATGCTAGTAGCACACGGACAAAGTAATTGTCTTAAACGACAAACAACAAGAAATCCAGCGCTAGTGCCATATGGGCTGGAAAAGGAAAACAAACGATTCCTCTTGGGGGCAAAGGTCATTTAATAATGACAAATGTTTAATCGAAACATAAAACCTCCGGGTGGGAGGGTGGGTAACAAACAGACTGAGAAAAATCACCTGCACAACGTGTAGTTGGCAAGTTACGTTTGGCGCCTGTGACGTGTCCCTTGCAACAATAAAAAAACAAATACCGCTTACAGCATAATCAGCCACTGACAGTCTGGATTGTCTCCCCTTGACTGTTAAATAAATGGACATTAAATCAGATGCCATGGCATTGCCGTTTAAATTAAAATAAACTAAGGTTTATTTCTCACTTAAACTCCATCATCCAATCCTTGGTTGATATGCTAGTAGCACACGGACAAAGTAATTGTCTTAAACGACAAACAACAAGAAATCCAGCGCTAATGCCATATGGGCTGGAAAAGGAAAACAAACGATTCCTCTTGGGGGCAAAGGTCATTTAATAATGACAAATGTTTAATCGAAACATAAAACCTCCAAACCCCCCAAGAGGAATAACCTGGTGAAAGTTCTGTGGTTTGACTTAGTTCACTATCCCTGCACTGAGAGATTGAGCAAGTTTCTCATGCATTGCATCATACACTGTAACATAGCGCTCATATGCATTGGAGCGCCAATCACCACGTAGCTTTATAAGCAAGGGTGGAATGCCAATGTCAAATGCATAGGAACATCCGCCTCTGCGGAAAGAGTGACCGCTGTATGCACCAGAATCATAACCACATTTGTCCAGATAATATTTCAATGTTTTAACAAAACTTTTGTAAGTTAAACTCTTGAGGACTCCACTTCTGTCCACATATGAAAACAAAGGTGCATTTGAATGTTGAAGTTCTTCACTATATTGTGAAAGCAAATGTTCAAGTGCTTTAACAGGACAAAGCACAGAGTCGGGTACCCTAGCCAGCGGTAACTTTAACACTCGCTGACCAAACTGTATAGTTTTTGTGTGTCTGACAGTAATCATGGCACTATCTTTGTCAGGGGAAATCTTGGCATCGTGCAGACTCAAGTAGGTCTGCTTTCTTGAACCACTGCCTCTAGTTTCAGGGAGCATGGTAGATTTCCTCAAGAAACAGAAAAACGCAATGATGCAGGCTGCCCAAAAAGCTACCAGGAATGGTTCTGACATGTCCATATGACTGTGCATCCGCCTTAGTATATCTGGTGTTATAGGAAGTTTTTGTTTTGTTGGTGTACCTTTTAGTCTTAAGATACCTTTGTGCAGGGCCTTTTGTTCCCATGTCTCCAAGGGGTTTGGTAACCCCACCTCAAGATGAAGCAGGCGAATGATATTCATATATCCTGGAATACTAGTTGCTGAAAGGGATCTTGTTAGGAACACTCTGTAAAGCAGTACTGTCATGCGGTCGGCTGGAACTGGTGTCCTACTAAAGTACAGACAGAATCTCAGATATGCAGTTTTCATTGAGGAATATGTGCGCTTAGTAGTTTCGGCATATGTTGCCCGTCGAAACTGCTGCATCTCGCTATATAGGTGTCGCCACTGTTGAGCCACTTGCCCTGTAGATAGGACAAAGTTAGTTTGGATACGTGTGAGGATGCTGGCACTAGAATATACTTCCTGTAACAAGTTTCACAACACAACCAATAGAACGGAATAAACTGTATTGATTTATAAAGAAATGTAACATTGTGCAACCTGCTCAGAGAGTCAGCAGCAAGGTTATCTTTGCCTGGGATATATCTGGCTGAAAATTTAAAGTTATGCACAGCAGAAAACCAGAATATCTTGCGCAGCCAACGCATGGCTAATCGGTCACGACTAGTACCTTTGTTAAGGGTATGCATAGTATAAGTATTGTCTGTGTAGACAATGATATGTTTGTCTGTCCAGGTTACACACCAGCGTTTGACTGCTAAATACACAGTGAACAACTCTTTCACATTGATGTGTAAATGTTCAACAAATGGGAAGTCTGTATGCCAATTATAATAGACCCAGTCAGGGCCGAAACATGCTGCGCCACCATCACTGCAGGCATCCGTGGAGAACTTTGCTGCGGGCACCGGTTCATTTTCAATAAATTTCACAGTACCATTAAAACATTCACAAAATTCATGCCACCACTTGATATCAGCCTTTGCGCATACATTCAGCCTGGTATGGTGATTGGGTTTTTTAAGGGTATTACATAAGTCAATTAATCTGCGCATAAATGTGCGCCCTCCATGAACTACCTGTGCTGCCCAATTCAATTTACCTACAATTTCCTGAAGTTGACGCTTTGTTGCTTTCTTTTTCGTCACCAACTTCCCTAATATGTGCTTCAAGTCAAGCAATTTATCCGCAGGTAAGGATAAGGTACAGGTAGTAGAGTCAATCTCTATCCCTAGGAAAGTCAGTTTCTGAGTAGGTTCAACCGTTTTGCTTCCATTTATAGCAAAACCTAGATCGGTCAATAATCTTCTCAATGTCCTGAAGGCTTTCCAACACTCAGAGTTTGTTTTTGCAATGCATAGAAAATCATCAAGGTATACAACTACCACAAAACCTCTGCGCCTTAACATTCTACGAACAGATGACGACAAACGGCTAAATATCTCAGGGCTCTTGGAAGCTCCAAATGGGAGCTTTGTGTCAATCATGTAGACTGGAAGTCTTGAGTTTTTGAACTGCCACAGCAGGCCGGTAGCTTCATAGCAGTCAGGATGTAACGGCACCACACGGTAAGCATTTTTCAGATCCAGTTTTGCCATGTATCCACCCCTCGGCAGAAGTTTGATTGCTTCGTCAATGGTTTGATATTTAAAAGATTGTGTCGTTGCATAATCATTGAGGCTGAGATCACATGGTCTAGAGCAATCATGAATTAAGCGTACCTTCCCAGTGCCTTTTGGTATTGCTCCCAAGCTACTAACAAGCTTTGGTTTTCTGTCTACAATAACATAATTGCCTCGGCTGATTTCCTCTGAAATTTGGTCTTCAACAATTGTTCGTACAGACTCATCTGTGGCAGACTTGTAGTTTTTACAAAGAACATCACTAATTGTTACATTTTTATCAATAATCCAGAAACCATTTTTTATCCCATCAATCAAAAACTCACAATCACTGTCCTCTTCTAATTCCCTTTCCCACACGTTAGTACAATTCCCTATTGGGCTGGAGACTTTATTGTTTATAGGTACGAAACCGTGGTGGGATATCCTGGTGTTCAAACTGGGGATGCCTTTGCTTGCAGCCTGGTACTATACATGTGTGTGCATACTTGCAGTTTGGGAACTTACAACCCGAGGGGTGCTGGTAATTAATGCAAATGGATCTGCCTGACTCATCTGTTGGACGATTGTCACTCTGAGAGCTGGAATGGGCATTCTGAAATGAGTTTGCTTTTCGGGGTTGGAATGTTCTCTTTTCTAAAAAGTAGAATAGGTCATGGAACGATATTTCACTCCAGCCGCACTGGGTCTGTGCTTGTCTCAATCTGTGTGCGTTGTCAAGAAGCATAACTGAAGGGATAGTATATGTTTGACAGAGATCCCCAATTTGAGCTGTGTATTCCAGATAGTCCTTAATTTCATCAATACCTGCTTTCCTGTGGTCGATCAATTTTGACAAAATACGGACATTGGCTGAAACCCACTGTGATAATGGCACATGTTCTGGAAGGGGTTTCCCCCTCGACGACCTTAGATACAGCTGTGCTGACCCATCACCTACTATAGGCGTCTCTTCGCTGGTCATTGATGACCTGGGCTTAGATACAAAGTCAGGAATTAGAAGTGGTTTCTCACCTCGTCCCTGTAGTGAAGCATTTCCGGGTTGTCCCATGTCTAACGACGTGGTGTGGTCTAGGAAGTCTTTGAGGTGTACATCCGACAAGCTGTTTACAAGGTCACTCAACTGTTTGTCACCCGCAAGTGTTTTTGTTGTGACAGGCGACGGCAGCGACTGTACTGGTTGCGGCGATTTCAACTGTTTTATTGCTTGAATTAGGATGTTCCGCTGACCTACGGACAATCTTAGTTCAGTAATGTCATCTAGTGACATCAAGCACAACGCAACTGTACTATCAATGTCTTCATCATTCAAAATTTGTGCGGTCTTACTGTTCAGATGGCTGTCACTGCACCATTGTCGAAAGTCGAACTGACTTGGCTGTTCGTTTCCTTCGCCTTTTTTATTCACAGACATTCTTCTTTGAGTGAATTTTAACAAACAGACTGAGAAAAATCACCTGCACAACGTGTAGTTTGCAAGTTACGTTTGGCGCCTGTGACGTGTCCCTTGCAACAATAAAAAAACAAATACCGCTTACAGCATAATCAGCCACTGACAGTCTGGATTGTCTCCCCTTGACTGTTAAATAAATGGACATTAAATCAGATGCCATGGCATTGCCGTTTAAATTAAAATAAACTAAGGTTTATTTCTCACAATAATTTGGCATTAAACTTGGACGGGGATTTCAAGATAATTGGAAAAGATTTTTAGATGATTGTTTTGTTCTGTGGAATCGGAATGAAGACGATCTACAATGTTTGATAGATACTTTACAGACACTCCATCCAAGTTTAACCTTTACTTTAAAGATGAGCCATGAAAATCTATCGTTTCTAGATGTAATGGTTACAATTTCAAACAATAACATTGAAACAGATGTAAATACAAACCAACATATTCCAAATGATACCTCAATTACGATTCCTGTCACCCCCGTCATACTAAAAACAGTGTCCCTTACTCATAGGCACATAGAATCTGTGCGCGAGTATCTAATTCAGATCGTGCACAATGTAGACTCGATGAACTGAGGTAGTCACTATTAGAAAGAAACTACCCTAGAAAAATAGTAGAAGATGCAATAATCAATATTTGGAAATGTTCAGGAGACACGGCATTCTTTAAATAAGTGTAAAGAACAGAAATGTCACTAAATAAACTTATTAAAAGTAAAAGACAGAGCCAAAATCTGCAGCAGATTCCTACTAGGACTTCTATCTCAAAAGGAAAACAAGAATGTAAAACAGTGCAAAAATGTAACAGACCTAATTGTGGTTCTTTCCCTCATGTTTTACAATGATGTTCTTTTACATTCAAAGATGGAAAAACTGTCTTATTTCCGTGAAAATATGAATTGCGCTTCAAAAAACTTGATTTATGTCCCACTAAACACTGAGGGTCATGCTGTGGTAATGTTTTGACTGTAGAACCCCATTGCAGCTCTCGGCTAGAAACGGGCTGCGCCTGGTACATTGCATTGTTACCCATGTAGTGTATAACCGCCCCGACACTGTTCTCGGCTGCAGCTGTTGATACTGGCGACGGTCGTATTGGCGGTCTCAAATTGCAAGGCAGACAAATAGAGTTACCACATTAAAAATGCCAAACTGGAGCATCGCCAAAACTGACAATTTTTTCTCACTCAAAACGGACCAGTTAAATATCACATTGCTCATAAAGACCATATAATAATCAGATACAGTAGTGCACATATCCTTCCTGATACCGGAAGTGACTTATAAGACAACAGGAAATGCTTTCTAACCTACGGCCATTAAGAACTCGGCTTCATTGTTTTAGTTCTCTGTATAACCCAACTGAGACAGCGAGAAGTAAGATCTTATTTTAATGACATTGAATATATAGTAAATTTAGATGAAGAGGGAAGACCAATGTTTCATATTGATGATATTACTTGAGTTATTATTAGAAACGAACAAATCTAAATATTTCTTGATACAAGTCAAATATCTATTTCATTCTGTTCATTGTACAACAACAACATCCAGCCAGATGGTCTGGTCAGTGTCTGGTAGAACTGGAACTTTGCTGCCAGAGTAGTCTCACTGCATACAGTGATTCATCAGTGGAAGTGTAGCAGTCTGCAATCCAGTCAGCAGTGTCAATATCGAAGGGCTGTCCAGTATCGTTCAGTTGCCTGCAAAAGTTCCAATTTCCTGCCTACCGGTCTGTTCCCAAGAAAGTTAGCCTTCTTGAATCAAAAGGCCTCTTTCAAATCTGTGTGCAATGGACTGACTTCCTACCGGGTACTGATTCTGTTGTCTTTGGAGTTACAGGTCCAACAATATCTGAAGATGAATGTCCTCTGTCACTTCTCTAGCTACCGCCTAAAAACTGTTGGCGAGCAACTTGGAGGACCACGGTTGTTGAAACAGGGAAACCTTAAACTGTTCCTCCAAAGTGTGAAGAATACCTCTCCTACACAGAGCTGTCATATATTAAAAAAGTTAATCCATCACTCTTTGAAATTTGCCATGTATCAATCAGCACAGTCGTACCACGAACATGAGCCTCCTCCAACATCGCCACATGTGCCAAAGACATCGCCATAGCCCCTCTTGCTGATAGAATCATAGAGAACTATGGCAGGGTTCGACAATGCATCAACTCCCAATCCTCCACAATTGATGGATGACTCCTCATCTTGGTGTTTAGGATCTAGTTCCGCAGGTCTCCTTATTGTTTGTGCCACATTCTAACAAGTTAACACATGGTGCCTTTAGTCCATGTTGCAGTCTCTTGAGAAGAGAAGGCTTTATCCAGATGCTTGCTCATGTCCCACATCACATGTTTAGGAGGTAAGGTAAGAGTCCACATTCTTGTCCTTAATGAAAAACCCGGATTGACAATCCCCCTTGGAAAGTCCTCTCTGCAGTTTCGATGCATCAGCAATCCAACCCAGTGTGTTTAATTGATCCACACTATTGAAGCTGTCTGTCTGAGAATCAGCCAAACCTTGAATCTCTTGTTCAAGGTGTGGCCTGCTAATACTGATGTACGAACCATACAGGCGTGTGTGTTGAAGTTGTGGGCTCATGACCCTCCGATCGAGGCCTCATTGAGAGTTCATTCTTCATTCTGGGGAAAGTTTGATCATGAGAGCTGTCTACATAGCATGTAATTCCCATAATCTTGCTGAGGTGGCCATAGCTGGGAGAAAAACTGTCTTCTGAGACACTAGTAAAAAGGTAGCTTTATGCACTAGTAAAAAGTGATTCTAACAACACAGACAGCACAATGGGAAGATTCCATTTTGGGCAGACGTGGAGTTTTAATGTCCTCTATTTAGAAAGACTTCATAAGGCAATTTAGGGTGGCATGTCAGTAAGTACAACACTCAAATATGTAAGAGGACTAACGCCAAGGCTGATTTGTAGCCAACTATGGTACAATGCTGATATTTCTTGTCTGAAAATATTTGTGACCATAGGAATAGTAATCTGCCTGTGATCTGCTGCTGATGGACATTCAAACCGTCAATACTACGTTCCATAATATCGTACTGGATATACTATATCAATACCACTAGCTAATAAAAATAAACTGTTCTTGACACCTTTGATGTCATGTTAAATGACAACACAAAATGTTCTTGACACCTTTGTTGTCACGTTAAATGACAACACAAACTGTTCTTGACACTTTTGTTGTCACGTTAAATGACAACACAAACTGTTCTTGACACCTTTGTTGTCACGTTAAATGACAACACAAACTGTTCTTGTTACCTTTGTTGTCACGTTAAATGACAACACAAACTGTTCTTGACACTTTTGTTGTCATGTTAAATGACAACACAAACTGTTCTTGACACTTTTGTTGTCATGTTAAATGACAACACAAACTGTTCTTGACACCTTTGTTGTCACGTTAAATGACAACACAAACTGTTCTTGCCACCTTTGTTGTCACGTTAAATGACAACACAAACTGTTCTTGACACATTTGTTGTCACGTTAAATGACAACACAAACTGTTCTTGACACCTTTGTTGTCACGTTAAATGACAACACAAACTGTTCTTGTTACCTTTGTTGTCACGTTAAATGACAACACAAACTGTTCTTGACACTTTTGTTGTCATGTTAAATGACAACACAAACTGTTCTTGACACTTTTGTTGTCACGTTAAATGACAACACAAACTGTTCTTGACACTTTTGTTGTCACGTTAAATGACAACACAAACTGTTCTTGACACATTTGTTGTCATGTTAAATGACAACACAAACTGTTCTTGACACTTTTGTTGTCACGTTAAATGACAACACAAACTGTTCTTGACACCTTTGTTGTCACGTTAAATGACAACACAAACTGTTCTTGACACATTTGTTGTCACGTTAAATGACAACACACTATCTAATGACCCAACTAATACTGATATGGCTGACTATACTAACTCTGTCAACAGTCAACATTTAACAGTC